TTTTTTTTTTTTTTTTGTAAAATTTGAGTTTGAATTTAAATTTAGGGCTAAAATCTGAGTTCTTGGTTCCCCCTTCAACTCAAGTTTCTAAACTCAAACTCAAGTTAATGAACAAAATATTTTTTTTATTCTTAAAAACGCCATAACTTTTTCGTTTTAATTCCGATTGAGATGATTTTTTTTTCTATGTGTTCACAACGAAGAGACGAATAAAACCTCACTCATATACTCTATTAAAATTTTTCATCACCATTGAGTTTTTATTAAAATACAATCCAAATACAAATTCAAGTTTTGACATACTCCAACACAAAACTCAAATAGATTTTCAATTCAAATCATAACTCATGTGCACATCTAAACACAAACTCAAATTAGAGTCTCAACTCAAATCATACTCAAATACACCTAAACTCAAATTATACTCAAATACACCTAAACTCAAATCAAGATCAGAACTCAAGTCACCTTAACTCAAAAAATATAAACGAACAAGCCCAATTCATTGTACTTAAGTTTCATTAAAATCATCTTGATTAATTATATTTTTTTATTATTAAAAACGTCATAACTTTATATATAAGATATCAGATAAAAATGAATAGTAACATATTTAAAATCACGGAAAATATTATATTTCAAAAATCACAATATTGAAAAAAATGCAATGCGCAAACCAAACAACGCCATTCTGTTAAGTACTAATTATACCATAAACCAAATAACTGAATAAAAAAATAATAATAATAATCATGTCGTGCCATGTGGTACAATTTGGATTACTCTTGTTACTAAGCGTTTATTTGTCCCCTTAAGTGAGGAAAAAAATTCATCTAAATCTGTTAAATTGCAGATCCACTTTAAACATGTTACGTAGTGTTATGTTTACTTTCCTGATCTTTTTCCCGACAAACAAAAGGAAATGGACCTTGGTCGACGGGCGATTTAATTAAAAGGGTGTTGGTCAACTATCCAAAACGAAACGTCGTCATTAAAGTGGCAATTTCACGACCTTTTTCCAATGGCACTCGCCAATGCCATTTTTATAATTTTTCACTGTTTCTAAACACTGCAATGAATGGCACAGAGCCAACAGACCTGTCTACCAGCGTTCATAACTTCACACATTTTCTGATTTCTGAATCGCCCGTCGTACAAGGCTTGTCAATCTGTACACTATTCATACACTATAAATTCGCCTCGGGCCTCAACTCAGTTTGTCAACACAAAAGCACTGCCAGTTTCATTGATACAATATAATCCCTGCTGTGAAATCTGAATTTAAATTGTCATATTTCTTGTGGCTCCGTTTATTTCGCTAATTTGAGTTTAAAATTTGAGTTTTGTTACAGTAAAAAGCTCTCAAAAACAGTCACATCTAATTTTTTTGCTATAGTAAAAAGCTCTCACACAAAATCACAAATCAACTTAAATTACAAACTCGAATCAGCAAAGTGAATGCGTTCAAAATGAGTTGTATCTATCAGTCTGGCCCATACAAAAAGTCATACGTGTGTATGTGTGTATATATTTAGTCCCGTTTATTTCACCGATTTAAGTTTAGAATTTGAGTTTTATTACAGT